ACACCTGACGATCTCTCACGGCACACTAGTGTGCCGCGGCACAGTGGTTGAAAAACACTGATCTAAATAACAAACTTTATATCATCACAGAGTGCAGATTTGATTTGTTGGGGGAACAGCAACATTTAATCCTAATGCTGCGTATATCTGTGTCTGAAGGTGATGCAGATTAAACCACAAAGGACCAGTTTGGGACAGTCTCATTCAGTTTAATTTTCTGTTGCTTATCCAGGCCGCCTTAATCTAATTATTAGTGTCATTAGGAGTGATAAAAGAGACAAACCGATACAATGTGACATTCAAATTCATCCCTGCCGGTTTTCATTGCGTCTGTCTGTTTGTGTGATGGCGAAATGTAGTCTATTAATTTACATCACAAAGGTTTCTAAAGAATTTGTAATGTGATTCTGTGAACCTGCAGAAGCCCTGTGACTGAGAAACTACAGACTCTGGTTCCTAAAGCAAACATGGCTCATAACCATCTATGTGGTACAGAACAAGCTGAAGCTCAGGGACCACTGGTTTCCACTGTTAAATGACTCAGTCCACTTAGATATTGACCTTCACTCTTCCAGGTTTAACAGGCAGAGTCAGGTCAGACCAGGACCTCGGTGAAGTCAGCAGAATCCTGAACTGGCCCACAGATGTTTTACAGACTGTTTCGCCAGAAACTCAGATACCAGTGTCTGAAGTAGATAATAGTCAGTTTATTGTGTCTCATTTCAGACATTATCATGTGACAGAGACTGAGTCATCACTCACTTATCAAACCTGCAAAAGTTTAGATGATTTGTTCCTGAACCTTATGAAGCTTTCAGACTGTGAGTACAAGAATCCCAGTGAGACACAAACATTGATTATTGGAATTAGTGTATCATGGATTTCTGACAGCTGTTAACAGAAACAAAATGGCTGCAAATCTTCCATCACTGACATTGATTTAAATAAGAGCATGTTACAAAGAAATTCAGGTAAGAAAATAAGGATTTGTGCATAAACTATCCCTAAGCATGGTTTACACACCAATTTTGTGTGCATACACTGTTTGTGAATGAGGTCCAGTGTTTCCACCCTGCTGAGAGTCGACTGCTGGAGTTTTGTGTCGGGGGCTGTGTGGTTAATCTTGTATTTTGGGACCAAAGTGCAATATGCTTCACATATTTCTGGGAGGTAGATGAGTACTTGCTTCCTCTCTGCTCTGAAATGAGCTGAGTCTTTCTAAAACTGTAAAACTAGAAAAAACTGAAATGTTTTATAAAAATCTTTGTAATAATTTTGGCAGTTCTTTTTCTAGAAATTTCTTATTTTTCAGTCACTGCCGTTTGTTGGTGAAGAGGAAATTTTGCCAAAATGAAATGTGGGAAGAAGTCCATTTAAATTTATTATTGCTATTAATATTATAATTATTACCATTTTGCTCCCAGTTCTTCCCTGTTCTTATATTGCTTGACTCCTTTTTCTTTCTTTTTTTGGGGGGTAGTTGAATGATGTGAAAATATTTCTAGAATTTCAGTAAACTTGTGTCTTCAGCTGAAGTTAGAGCGACTGATTAAACTCTGCTCTCAGGTTTAATTTTGACTTTTTACAATGGAGCCATATCTAACAATAAGCCATGCATGTGACTTCTAAGCCATATTCTCCACAGCTGTTCAGTGTCATTTAATATAGAAACCTCATTAGTGTAAAGTGAGACGACCTTTGCCTGCCTCCTGCTGTCAACATCCTGTACAAACTAAAACTAAGACATAGAGACCGTAGTGACGGAACACTAGAACCAATGAGAAAAGTGATGCTTTAATATTACTGATTTCTTTTCTCTCATTTCATTTTATTTTAATTGTGTCAGAAAAACTAAGCTTTAAACTGCTTTTTAAACAGAACAGATGCAGGACGATAAGGAAACATTGAGAATTGGATCCAGAACCAGATTTACACCCGAGTTCCTGTCAGCGTGCCGAACTGTTAAATTTAGACAAATTTGGTATAAAGTTTGGTTGTGACCATCTTGAAAGTGTAAAGCTTCATGCTGCCAGTTTAAGTGTTCTTAGGGTGGATTTCAGGTGTTTGGGGATCAACTTTATGTTTCTCTTGTTTTTAACATGTTTCTGAAATTCTGTTACTTCTGATGTTTGGATACATAAAAACCAAATAAAACAGAATTTATGTAGAAAAACAGTCTTGACTCATTGTCCTTCCATTTGAGCTGAGCAGAACTTATTCATGTTGAAACACAGCAACAGACTGAACTTTTATTTTGAAGATTTCAGTCCACCAGAAAACATCTTGCAGAGAAATGAAAGATTTATCTAATTAATTTTATTTTGGTTGATTCAATTCATTATTTACTTTTTGTTTTTACATACTACTTACAGACAGGGACAGTGAGCTGTACAGTATAGCATTGCTATAAATTGGCCAGTTTGCCATTGCCTGGACTTTTGTGTTGTTGTAATGTTTGTTGCTGAGGTGTATCTTCTCCCAGGTGCAGGCACATGTGACTAACGAAGCTTCAGAATTAAAAGTTTGTCTTTTTTAGTGGTGCCGCAGGGTCTAAAACTGATGTTCTCCTGAAGACAAAGATGATTTGTAGGTTCAAAAGCATTAAAAGTCAAAATAAACAAATCAGGTTAAGAATCTGTTTTATTTGCAGTGGATCATGTGACATGTTTTTGTCTGTATTATTTTAGAAATTATTTGGGATTGATTTTCTCCTTTGGCCTTTGGTGACAAGTCTATTTCTTCAGGTGTTGGCTGGTGTAGCTTCTCACAGGTGTGACTGATTTCCTGTTGATTGGTTGCATGATGCATCCTGATGAAGCTCATCATATGCCTGGTTTTTATGCTCATATGCTGCTGTGAATAAAACTACCACAGTGACCAGACATAAGTTTTTCACCTGGTTCTTTATTGTCATTGGACTGCTGTTTTTGTGCTTAGACAGCCAAAGTGGAGTTTCGCCCATTTCCTCTAAGCACAACGAAAAGATTCCGTTTTCATTCTGACTGATGACATGAAACAGAAGCAAATTTTTAAAGGGAATCCTTTTCCTCTGTTGTTAATCTGAATTATGTTCTGTGCCTGTTAACAATGATCACTTGCAGGAAGACCCCATTAGCATTAGCAGCTTCAGTCTGAATGAGCAGCGTATTCTGTCTCTGTATCAGAGCAGCTGTCCGTCAGCAAGACAGAGACTTCAGCAGGTGGACAGACAGCACAAATGTACCAGGCAATCACAAGACATATAAGATAAAAAAAAAACTGTGAACTTGTAACAGAAACTTGTTCAATAAATGAAAAATATAAAAACAAAATTTTTAAAAACAATTTTACAGAAAATAATGATCGGCGATTTTATCCTTTTACAGAGACAATCATAGCAAAGATGTTAATGTCCTGTTAAAGCTGCGGTTTGTGGTGTTTGTCCACCAGGGGGCAGACTCAGAGTTCTGGTCCACCTCCTGCAGTCCCAGTTCAGGTCTTCACAAGCTGATAGTGACAATGATTAACTCCTGGCCGCTGACTGGTCAGTGTCAGTCTCCTGCCTGGTTGTTGGTGGCAGGGTGCAACTTCCCACTGTGATGACCCTGCCTGCCAGAGAACTGCTCCTGAGATAGTGGAGAGGCGTTGCTTGTCGTCCGGTGACAGCAGGCGGCGAGGTCAGCCCTGAAGGATGGCATGTAGAAGCCATAGATGACTGGGTCACAGCAGGTGTTCAGGTTCCCAAACACAAAGAGGGCGTGGTGGATATACTCAGGTGTGACGTGCACCATGTTGGGCTGGAACCAGTACCAGATCCCCAGCAGGTAGTATGGAGTCCAGCACACCACGAAGGATAGCACAATGACCACCGTCATCTTCAGAGTCTTCATCCGAGCTTTGGGGATGATGTCAGTGCCACTGCGACGCAGATATGACTCACCTGCTGAGAGAGGGAGGGGCTATGTCAGTGATGTCATACTGTGGCTGCACAGCAGGATATAACGGTGGTGATGGACAGGTGTGCAGGTGTAGTGCGGCTGTACACTAGTCTTGTTCCTCAGCTGGTGCTGGCTGATGTACAGGTATGTTACTGTACTTGTATATATAATGTCCTTTTGTGTGTTCCTTTTGTGTCTCGGGTGCTACTGGTGGAAGTGCAACAGGTGTACAAGTGTGTTACAGATGTGACTTACCTTTATCCCTCAGATGCTGCTGGTGGATGTGCAGAAGGATGCGGCTGTAGCAGCAGCTCATCACCAGCAGGGGGATGACGTACAGCGTGGTGAAGTGGAACATGTTGTAAACCGTCTCCTGCCAGCGGTGGCCAAAGCTGCCATGAGTTGCACACTGAGTGAAGTCGACAGCCTCAACCCGGACCGCTCTGAAGATGAACAGCTGTAGACACAGGACACACCGGTTTGATCTAAATGTGGCTCAGATTTGAACTAAATTTAAATAAACCCTGACTGACGTCTTGTCTCCACCCTGCTGTTATGCGAGTCTAAGGTGACTGATGGAGACAAACAGCAGGTGGAGCGGATTCTCCAGTCGCCACCATTGAACCACTGCAGAAGAGGATGAGGGGATTCAAAGAGCTGCAGTTGGAAAACATAATGGAGATGTGACATTTCTGTTGGTTTCACATGATAATGTGAAGAAGGTCACAGCCTCCTCATCACTCTACACTCACCTGAGTCACACGATTCATGGACGTCAGTGTTTATTCACAGAATCTGTTTCTTTATCCACACAACAGCCTTTCCACTGAACACAACAGAAAAATCTTTTTTTCTCATTTCTGGTGCTTCCACTGTGTTTTATATGTGCCACCTGAAAATGTGGGTAACAAGTGAAAGGTAACACGCCTGTGTGTGTGTGAGTCTTAACATGAGTCAAGTAAGTGTGTATCTGCTAAGCTCAGTGAAACTAGCTTTCACTGTTTTCCAGCTGGTGGCTTGTTTCTGTTGTTAGCATTCCTTAGAAGCCAAGGGGAGCAGTTAACTTGAGCTAACAGCAGGCAGTGTCACATTCACATTTAATCCCCATCAGAAACCAGAACATTCCTGCAGGGATTAGTGTTAGTTCACCTGACAGAGGGTTTAGAGCAGGAGCTGCTGCTGTGAACTGAGAACTTTCACCTGCATCAGCAACAGCAGCAGGAAGTTCAGTTAACGTGTAGAAGAGCTGATAAAAAAAACTCAGCTTCATCACCTCTGACCTTCAGCTCAGTACATTATCATCTAATAAATATTAGGCAGTGATGACAAGAAGTAGCTGGTGTAACAGGCACAGATGTGCTGACATGTTACCATGTTACCTGGCTGATGTGTTGTGATGATGTGTTACCTTAGAGACACTGGGCCTCATTCACAAACCAGTGCTAAATCTGTGTATGAACAATTTTCCCACAGATTACAGATTTGGGATTCATCATTATTTTCTTACTTAAATTTGTTCATAGCATGCGAACAAATTTAGAACTGCCTCAGACCATGCCTATGCACAAATTATGAAAGCTTGGCTGTCTTGGAAAATGTAAACAAACACCTTGTAACTAAATGCATAAACGTTCACTTAAAAAACTTTAATGGTTAATAGAATTAACTATGTAATTCTGCATTTCTGTAATTTCATTTAAGGCTTTAACTATTAATTACCTCCACGAAGGGCAGGGGATATATTTTTCCCAGTGTTTGTTTAACAGCATAACTCAAAAAGCAATGAACAGATCTGGAGCCGGGAAAAGACATATGTTATGCAGCGACAGCCAAGCAGAGATTTGGCATGCTGTGCTTGTTTGGGTTCTCTCCAGGTACTCCCACAGTCCAAACACGTGACGGTTTTATATTTGTAAAACTTTTCTGGACCCTGGGAAATTGAATTATTTTTGTGACAATGTAAAGTCTGTGGGCAGAGTGTGAGCACGAGTATGGGTCAGCGGGGGAAACATTACTGAGCATATGCAGTGGGTGACACAATGTGTACTTAAACCTGGAAGACAAGGTTTTTGGGGATGTGCACCAAGGGAGCAACTTTCAGTGGGAAGAATGGGCACCATCTTGCAGTCTGGTATCCAGGTCTCCTTAATACATCCATGGTGCTAACATGGCGCCTGTTGTGCTATCTGTGTAATTAAACCTCTACTCCAAAAGCTTACTCTGGACCCAGGTGTTCTGGCTGATTATAGACCGATGTCCAGTCTCCTCTTTATTTCTAAAATCCTTGAAAAAGCTGTTGCAAAGCAGTAATGTGACCATCTGCACAGGAGGATGTTTGAGGATTTTTCAGTCAGGATTCAGAGTCCATCATAGTACAGAAACTGCACTGGTGAAAGTCACCAGTGATCTCCTCCTAGCCCCAGACAAACGACTTGTTTCTATACTTGGATCTCAGTGTCGCTTTTGACACCATTGATCACAGCATCTTATTACAGAGACTTGAACATGTTATTGGGATTAAAGGAACCACACTAAGTTGGTTCAAATCTTATTTAGGAAGATTCCAGTTTGTTCATGTTAATGATGAATCTTCCACACAGATTAAAGTTAGTCGTGGCATTCCACAGGGCTCTTGTATTCACTTTTACATGCTCCCTTTATGCAATATTATCAGGAAATACGGCCTAATTTTCCATTGCTATGGAGATGATTCTGTTATATTTATCTCTGAACCCAGAATCAGATCAGTTGGTCAAACTTCAAGCATGTCTTAAAGATATAAAGGCTGGATGACTTGTAATTTCTTACTTCTAAACTCTGACAAAACTGAGGTTTTTGTACTTGACTGAGACACTAACACCCTGCTGTCTCTCAAAAAGGCTTTTATTGTGAAAAGATAAGTGTTTTCTTTTTTGTTTTTTTTACCTGCTCAGCAGCTCTGAATCTTTTCTCCTCCTCAGGTTGGACTGCGTTCTCCTCTCCTCATGTTCAAGCTTCAGTCCATAACTTAGAGAACCCTGAAGAACCTGCAGATCCCAGTCTGAGACACAGAACCTGGTGTAGTCCAAATCAGTTCAGGATTGTGTCTCTGCAGCTCTGATCTGAAACACTGAAACACACTGCAGCATCGAGGAGGAGGAGCTGTCAGATTGTTTCCACTGAAAGTTTGGATCCACAGCAGGAAGTTTAGACATTTCAGAATTTTATCAGAAAATAAAACATTTGAGAAAAGTGAGAAAACATAAACTTGACCTTGTGTAAAAGAAATAAAATGATTTTCTTTTTACCTTTATTAGAAAGCCGATGTGCAGTAGAGAACAACCTCACACAATACAAAGTTAATACA